TCAACAAATGAACTTTATACTTATATAAATATTTTATTCAAAAGATCATTTTAAGGCTTTTGTTGTAATTGAAATGCTCAACTTTATAATGGGATAAAATCTACTTCAAAATTTGACAGCAACCTAAATAACTTGATATTTATGTTGTAGTATTCCTACTGCAGTTAAAGCAAAATTCATATGAATTAAGAGTATTTGCACCTTAAATCTGAACTGAATCAGATGCATATGGTAATGGACGTGCTTTGCAAAATACTTGATGTGCATTCTCCTTCAATTGTAATTTAGTCTTAAATCTAGCAACCATTCTATTTTTCCTATCAAACACTGTCTTGTGTTTCTCCAGTGTACCTTCCAGCAATTCCTGGTTGACAACCTGTTTGTCCATCTACTGATATACCTATCTACCATCATAAGCACACAGCTTAAGTGGACACCCTTTTCATGTTGACATGATTAAATAATTTTATATACAACTGATATGAAATCATAGATCCACTAACACTGGTATTTAGGTGCATCTGTAGATTATAGTTCTCCACCATTAATGGCACTTTAATCAGTATGACTGTTGTTAACAGTCCTAAGAAATCATTACAATCACTCACACTGTTCACATTTTTAACAGTACGCTAATTTTTTGTTCTGTTCAAAGTTTGTTTGTCATCTTTGGTTTTACATATTTTCCACTAGCTGGACAGTTCAAATTCTCACTATAATAACTCTCAAGTCCACATCAGCAGCAGGTTTTATTTCTCACATTAGTCTGCTAGAATGATTGCTTGTTTTTGTACAACAGTTTGAATCAATTTAGCAGTAACTAACACGGCTACCATTTGCTTTACCATGAATGAACACTGTGCATTTATTTCCAGCATTCTAGTTAAGTTCAATGCTGTACTCTCTCCTAGAAGCTTCTGTCATATATAGGACGCATGCCGACAATACTGCATCATGGATTTCATTATCCATATTTGTCCAAATTGCACTATCTTTCTTTAACCACTTGTTTAACACACATAGCAAACTGTTGAACTGTCTTGCCATATTTCCGAACTACAAGGTGAAACGATGATCTCACTATGGTGCTATTAACCTCCTGTATGAAATATGTACTTATCGCTGTAAATAGTGGCTAAAACTGCATCAGGTAAAGTAGGAAAAATGTCCTGAACTCCTGGCCCTACTCTATAGAGTAGCAAAGTCTTTCCTCTCCATTTTCTGGTGTTCAGCACTTCCTCTTCAACAACTGAACCAAAGCCATTCACATAAAGCTAAAATAACATCAGCCATCCAGTTCAATACCTTCCTAAGTTAGCTAGTTCAGCATAGTATTCAAACCATTTCAGCGTGTGGTTATTAGTAGCATCAATATCTCATCCCTATCACCAAAAAATGTCATGCATTAAAAAGTTTTGCATAATTTGAATTGAATCACATTTTATAGCAATATACACACAAAGCTGGTGTATTCTGTTTAAAACAAGTGCCATATTCTTTAATTTATATAACTAGAATTTTTTATAACTTTTTATATAAATTTTAAATCCCCACCACAGTATATAAAAATTGTTTCATTTGATTTCGCAAACCAATCAATGAAATTTGAATAAGCTGATGTGTTTGGAAAAATACTTTGACAAAAAAACCTACTTCACAGTTTAATAATTTCTTTAATTTTATAGGAAAATATTTTTTCCTTTTTCCTAGAAAAAAATAAATTCTTAGGTTTTCTTACTCTTGAGCATACAATATACAACTGGCCATGTTTAAATATTTCTTTCTGGAGACAAATTCCAACATGTGAAGTGTTTGGTCTTGTGATTTGTTTATAGTTCTCACAAATGTAGGGCAAACTTGAAACTGAATTCTTGTATATATAAAAACTTAAAGATATGAAAAAAATACAATAGTGCAGTTTTATTAAATAAGTATTTGTTATTTTAAATCATTAAATTGTTTTTTAAAATAGTGAGACTATTTTGTATGTTAAATAATGAAACTTAATTTTTTCAAAAACATTAATGAAAATTTTTTCTACTAAGCAATGCACCCTAGTAAAACCAACTGTACTTTGTAACCCCTTACCTGTTTGCACTTCTCCCTCAAATTTGGTTTTGATTGGTCAATTTATGGCTATTTTAGAGGGTGTAGCAGACAGACTAATGGAAGTCACAGAATCTTATATATAGATAGAAGCCAGTATGTAAGAAATGAAACTATCAGGTCATCAGTTCTGTCCGAATTTGGAATAAAGAAAACAAGTGACTAAATGTTACATTTAATTACAGATTCAATCAACAATGTATTTTCCCTGATTATCTATGACTTCCTTCCATCTATTAACAAGCTTAGTAATTCCATTACTGTAAAATTCTTTTGGCTTTGATTCGAAGAACTTACAAATGTCAGCTTTAACCTCTTCCTGTGTTACAAAAGCTGTTTCTTCCAAATGATTCTATAAGCTATGAAACAAATGGTAGTCTGAAGGAGCAAGATCGGGAGAATAAAGTGGATGAGGAATTTTCTCCCAACCAAGTTCTTCGATCTTTTGTGACGCGATTCTTGCGACGTGTGGTTGCGCATTATCCTGATGAAACATCACCTCTTTTCGATTCACTAGAGCAGGTCTTTTTTCCTCAAAGCTTGGTTCAAATGCTCTAATTGCTGACAGTATATTTGAGCATAAATTGTTGCATTAGGTGGCAAGCATTCAAAGTGGATTATTCCTTGGCAATCCCACCAGATTGAAAGAAGAACCTTTTTCCCATGAAGTTCCCTTCTCGGCTGTGGCTGGGTCCTTCCTCTTTACCAAGCCACTGTCTACGATGCTTAACATTTCAATAAAAGATCCATTTCTCGTCGCCAGTCACAAGTCTATCCAAAAAAGGTGAAACAAGTTAGCGAGAATGGAGAGAAGAGCAGATGTCAACTCGGGATTTGAGGTTGTTTTCAGACAATTCATGAGGCACCCATTTTCAAAGTTTAGGAACTTTTCCAAGTTGTTAATGATGACGATGAACAGTTGTATGGTTTGAACTGAGAACCACTCCCAATTCCTCAACTGATAAAGCAGGATTTTCTTCAAGGGCTGCTTCAAGAAGCTTTTTATCAAACTCAACTGGACATCCAGTTCGATCTTCATCTTCAAGGGTGAAATCTCCACCTCTGAATTTTTCAAACCATCTTCTGCAAGTTCTTTCATTCACACATTCCTCTCCATAAACTGAGTGAATGTTTCTAGCCGCTTCATCTGCCGAGTTTCATTTCTTGAACTCATAAAGCATTAAATGATTCTTGGGTACTTCCATGCTAGCAGGGTTTTAATCAAACAAAATTTAATTTTATTGTTTTCTGAAATAAAATTTGATCAGTTTAAATGCATCTAAACATAAAAATAATGTTCAGCTCAATTAGACATTATAAAATACTCTTTAAATTTCGTTCATTTTAAAAAAAGTTAAAATTCGGACAGAACTTATGGGATGACCTGATAAATGATAATATATAATACATATCACTTTTCCTATTAGGCTGTAAGGAAGTCTGAACTCATTACAAAAAATTCATTTATAAAAATAAAACAGAATGATCGTTTTAGAAAGTAAAAATTTTTTAAAATCTTCTGAAATTTTTTAAAATCTTCTTTAAAAGTAATGGCTGAAAAGTAATTTCAGTTTTTGATTTTGATCCTAAAATTAGCATCTTGTTATTTAGAAACCACCGTTTATCTTTTTAGATTATTTTATAACCTTCTTTGCAGCCACTGGCCATATAAAGTTCTGAATAATCAAATAGAAAAAGAAAAATAACTTTTCCCTCTTGGTCAGAATCATCTACTCACAGAGTTTTTGCAGAGAATAAACAAAAAACTTGACATACAAATCTATTTTGTACAGTCTTAGTATAATTTTTTATATAGTTTTCTTCAAATTAAATTTCCCATAGTAAGAAAGGAATATCCTGGGCACATGCAAAACATTTAAGTAACTTCTGATGCCTATATCTATTTTAAATTTATATACTTTTGTATAAAATTAATTATAGATAAGAAAAGATTTATATAATTTACAAACATAAAATACAAACAATAGTAATGGTGATAGACAAATTTATTCCATATTTTAATTGTACTATCCTGGTTTGCAATAATTGCTTGGATATGTTTTTTGTAACACTTGCAAATGACCTTCAATTAAAATGACCTTTAAATCTTCAATGTTTCTGGGGTCTTACTGATGAATTTGATCTTTCAAGATTCTATTTAAATTTCTGGAATGCGGAGTTATTATTTACATATAGACTATTGTCCTCATTTTTGTTGTTATTGTTATCAAAACATTTCTGAATGTTTGAGAGAATCAGTAAATATGCTAGTAATATGAGGGCCTCTTTAGTAGACCTAGCATAGAAATAAATATATGGGAGACATAAATAAAGAGAAGTGGCAGCAAACCAGCAGCTGCTGTAAAAAGTGAAACCGCAGTGAGTGTTGTCAAGTGTGTCAAGTAACAGCACTCACCAGCAGGCAAGTTAGCTTTAAAGCTCCAAGCTGATTTTAACTAACGAAAAACATTCTTCAAAACATTGTTAGGTTTCTCTAAATGCTCATGAGAGAACTTCATCCAACAATTTCAGTGTCTCTTTTTCAACAAAGATGTTTTAAACCATTCTTATACTATTCCAATACTTCTTTTGACTCACTCTACCTGCACACACACACACACACACACACATATATATGTAGAGTTTTGGTAAAAATTAATGAACTGAAAAAAGGAAAAAAAAAGTAAAAGCTATTTTATAATTGGCTTATAACTTGTCACCAGTCTCCCATTTTGGGAATTTAAATTTATTCTATTATTGGATTATGCCACAATCAGAATTGAATATTATTAGTTTGAGTTTGTTCCTTATATCTTATCAAAGAATCACTGATTTCAACTGGAGAAAAAGATTGCATTTAATGACAAATGAACTATGGAAAACAAAATACTTACCTGACCAATAGTAACAAACACAGCTCTACTACTAGCCATTGTGACACCACTAAACATTCGAGGTGTACCTTCATCTTTGTAAACACGATAAAGACCATCCAAAGCATGTTTGTAACTAGAAAGAGAAATAAATGTAGGAATTATTTCCATTCTAGAAATATCAACATTCAAATGTATATTTTGGTAGTTATACTTCAGTCTCAAGTCAACTTGAAATCTGATGTACACATTATTTTTTAATACTAGTAATAAATTTTTACTAAAAAGAAAAATATAACTTGACCATGTATCTGATGAATAAAATCAATCACCAATCTGAGCAACTTGTCCATTTTTTTTTTCTGTTATCATTTGTTGTTGCTTGAAAAGGTATACTTTGCAACCTCAGTCAATTTGTTTCTGTCAAACAAAAACACCATTTACTGAAAATCTGAATCGTAAAATAAAAAATGAGCTACAACTATGACATTATTTAATTAGAAAAGTTTTTTAAGTGATTTTATAAATAAGATATATTAAGGACACTATTGTCTTAAGAAAAAAAAAATCTTTCGATCAATAATTAATTTTGACAAAAATTGTTTTTATTTTTTTTTTTTTTTATTTTAATTCATAAAGTTTTAAATCTTAAAATTATGCATTAATTTCACCCTTTTAGAGGATATTATTAAGTAAAAACTATATTTACTAATCATAAATGGAAAAGTTAGTACAAATCATAAAACATCAATATTTTTAAAAGAATTTTGAATTTTTCTGTATGTTGATAAACATGCTGATTTTTTTAGATGCAGTTAATCATAAATGACATTATCGAAAAATAAGAGCATTAACTATAGTAAATTTAAAGCCAGGAAGTATCTAAAATTCAATAAAACATTATATTACAGAGAATTTTCTTAAGATTACTGTGTACTTAAAAATTATATATAAAAAGTGCTCACATTATATTTCAATTATTTTTTATGACTAAAGCCTCCATAGAACAACATTAATTAAACATCAAGCTGTCAAACATAAACAGCTACTGCTGTGTTAAAAAAATGCATTTCTGCAATATTTTAAATTTAAATTAAATAATATTTGTTTCAAATCAGATTAATTATACTTTAAAGCAGCTACTATTCCTTAAAGTTTCTGATATAAGTATATTTTATTTTTGGAAGATATTTTTAATAAAGAGAATTACATTTGTGATGAAAGACAACAAAGAAGAGAACTAATCAGTTATTTTATCAAAACTCCTTCAAGTTAATTTAAATTAATTTTTGAAATAAAGCAAAGTATTTTGCTTATTGGAAATATTAAATTTAATCCATCGACAAGATTTTTCATTTTTAAAAATTTATTTTAAACCTTACATCTTGCACTTCCTGTGGTGGTGCCTACTTTAAAGCTAACTTTATTCATTGATCACATGGTAAGGCAAACTATTACTGAAAAGTGTTTGTTTTATGTTCAATTCTTTATAAAAAAAAAAAAAATTTCTAAATGGGAAAATATAAAGAGAAAACAAATTACGTAGACCTTATGGTTGAATTAAAAAAATTGATGGAATTTTTGCTGCTTTATTTGTAAAATACAAAAGGAATTTAAATTTTTCTATAAAAAAATTCTGATCACACATTTTCATAAGGATACTTTATTTTGAAACTGGAAATGATAAAAACATATATAATGAAAAGTTCAAAGAACTTAACTACAAAAAAAAAAAAAAAAAAAAAAAAAATAATACCCCAACACTTAGTTTCCATTTTCTTCTTCAGAGTAATCTTTTTGTAAACCAAAACACTGGCTTTATAAAACATAGTGGCAAAAATCCATAGTAAATTTATATGAAAACATTCCTTGACACTTTGGATAGTATAAATGTATTTAGGCTTCTATTTGATATCAGTTCAATATCTTTTTTTCGTTAATAAGAATAAGTAGTTTCACTAGTCACCAAGAAAAATATTTTGTTCATCATATATAAAATAAATGAACTACTTTTTAACTTATGAAATATTCATATAATAAAACCTTTTAAAGAGTTAATTAATTTCATATTTCTTTTGATAATCCTGTACTTAGAAATCAGAATAAAAAAATCAAAGCAGCTTTTTGACTATTTTCATGTAACCATTGAAAAACTTTTTCCATTTTTAATGATTTCTACTAAAGGGTTACATGAAGAGAAAAGAAAAAAAATGTGTTTACATTTAAATATTTGTGCTTATATTGTCAGTTTTTATGTGCCATGTCCCTTCATGGCTCTTCACAATTTCTTGTTCTTTACTTAATAAATTTTGTCATTTCATCATCTCTCTTAAACCCTGTTCTGCCACCCATTTACACAAGCTCAATATGTAGATTATGCATTATTTTCCTTTATCCCTCTTGCCGTCCTGTGAGTATCAAATTTTCCAAGACCTCTTACTTCATTATGTGCCACTAGAAATCTCAGCTGTCTCTTTCTGATGTTAAGTATAAGTGTCCTTTCTGCTTCCATTTTCTCAAACTCCATTGTAGCTCACATGTTCAGTCCATGGTATTCTCAGCATTTTTCTGCAGATCTACATTTCTGTTGTTGCAAGTCTCTTCTTCATCTGTAAGGAGATTGCCCAGCATTCACAGAAAGACTGATATTACATAACAATTCAGAAGTTTTCTTTGTTTCTAAAGAATTTTCCTGTTTCTTAATACTCTACTTAGTTTTTAGAAGACATCTTTCACTATCCCAATGACCCTTTAAGTTTCAGTGTTGCACTTTACATCCTCTGTTAAAACATTTTGAAGATATTTAAATTGTAATTGTTTATAATTTGCATTTTGGGCTGTTTTTTTTGTTCACAAACATTCATTTTAGCAATTTATGTTTATTCCCTTCTTCTCGCTTTCCTTTACTACCGTCTGCAGGAATTCTTATAGTTTCCTTTCTGTGTCTGCTATCAACACTGTGTCATCTGCATATCTTATTTTGTTAAGATTGTGGCCATCAATAACAAATCACAGTAGAACTTCTAATTTTCTCAGAACCACCTCAATATATAGTTTGAATAAGTCTGAATTTTTGTATATTTACTGAACTCATTTTCTATCCATATGTAGGCAATTTGCTGCTAGTATAGGTTCTAGATTATTCTAATATCATTCCCAAATAGGTTACCTAGCAGTTCTAATTGTTCTTTGTGGCATATTTTATCAAACACTTTTGCATACTCTATAAAACAGATGTTAATCCTTTTGCATTTGTATTGCTCTGATATCATTTAACGAACCTGCACTGTTCTTATCCTATTTTTGGTCTAATTCTGATGCATGCTCTATTCATCAGAATTCAGATGATATGCTTTGTTACATGGCTCTTTAGACTGATTGCCCAATGGAGTTCATATTCATTTATACCTGGTTTCTAGGTAGTGCTATGAAAATGGATCTATTTAGATTTTACTTAGGTACTGTAATCTAATCTTTTACTGAATTATACTTTCTGGCTTTAAATTTACTATAGTTTTCACTCTTATTTTCTGATGATGTTATGTATAATCAACTGCATCTACAAAAATCAGCATGTTTATACACATACAGAAAAAAATCAAAGTTCTTTTAAAAATATTGAGTGTAAAAATTCAGCCTATCTTGTCAAAAAGAATTCAATAAAACTAAAAAAATATTGTTTTTTTGAGAATTGTTGTTTGCAAAACTTACGTTCAGATTCAACAGAAAAAATAAACTTGAAATTAATAATAAAAAAAAAATTACTTGTAAAATTGCAGTGCAATTTTGAAATTAATTCCGTTGCTGTTTTGTCACAAGAGTTTATTTAAAAAATGCACTAATGCTTTAAAAATGCCTAAAAAGATATTATTTATATATGGAAATTAGTTTTTCTTTTAATCCAAGCTTTTTAGAATAGGACCAAAAATTAAAAAGGCCATAAAAACAGATAAAATGACCCTAGCTCAAGCAGGATTCAAGGTACAGTATACTCCTAAATTATATTGGGATATTACGTATCATTTAAGCTGTATCTTGAAAACACACATACAAGTATTAGTATTTATATATATATATATATATATATATATATATATATATATATATATATAGAGAGAGAGAGAGAGAGAGAGAGCTTTTTATATAAAAAAATTAGGAGAACAGCCCATTTCATCACTTTAGTTCCAACCTTTTGGTATCTAAGGTAGCGAAATCAGCTGATCTCCTAATTTTTTATATTTATATATATATATATATATATATATATAAATAAATAAAACATTTCCCATAATTTTAAGAATGGTTATAGTTTATATTTATTTGTATTCAATATACCAAGATTAATATCTGCAGAACAAATAAAGAGATAAAATGTTAAGCATGAGAATTTATCAAAACACTTATCAAAGCTTATATTAATTCATTTATTATATTTTTAGGATAAACTTACTTCCTTCGTTGGTCCATTGGTAACTTGTTATCATTTTGCATCCTATAAAAATTAAATAAAAAAAAATTTGCCAAGAGCCCCAAATTAAAGTAAACAGAAATACAATTATAAATAAAATCATGAAAAAATAAATATAACAGTAAATCTGAATTTTTATAAAGAAAAGTTTGGTATCCATGTTTAGTTATAGATAAATTAATTTTCATTCTGTTATTAATGAATAAAATACAAATAACTAAAATGCTAAGTACAGAAAATTCCACTATAAATATATATAAATAAGTAACAGTATAATAAAATGTGAACGACAAAAAAAAATGTTTTCAACATGTAAAACTAAAAATTGGTAAATTCCAATATTCAAAGGTATTCCATGAGAAAAAAAATCTTATAATAAACTAAAAAAGTGAAGAATATAGAATAAACCTGAATTACTAAGCAGTTCAAGTGAATTTAAAGATATTCATTAAACTTGAATCAAGGTATCCAATAATGGATATTGTCAAGACAAGCAGCACAGTTATAGTCAGTTCTATAAACCTATATCTCTACTGTGGAATTTTGATTTATATGAGAGGAAGAGTGTCAAAAGGAGATGCAAAGAGAGAGAGAAGCAAAAATGAAGAGAAAAAGAGAAGCCAAAAAATACAAAATCGAGAGATAAAAAAAATTATGAAGCACAACAAAAATTAATCATTTCTTGATAGTATTGTGATGAGTTAGAAAATAATGGATTCTATACAACTACTGGTATTCTATGTAGTGGCTGGTGAAACATTAAATCACTTCCTTAAACCAAAGCTGCATCAAAAGTAAGATATAGTCATGGATTGGTGGTAGCCAAGTGGAACCATCCAGGGTCCTACAAAACCATCATAACAGTGAGGTAATACCAGGAAATTGAATAAACACACCAAGAACTGCAATGTTTATATCCAATACAGATTAACTGAAAAGGACTAATTCTTCACCATAACAATGCCTGACTACATGTTTTGCAATATAACTGAAACACATAGACTTGTACATTGCTGGAGACAAGGCATAGATTCTAATGGTTCTTATTTCAATAAACAAAATTTTATTCAAAGCTGAAATATACTGCTTTAAAAACTGATAGTTAAAAACTGTAATTATTTTTCGCCATACAATAAAATGTCATGAAATACAAGTAATCAAAAATAAAGAAATCATCTCAAAAATTAAAACTGAACTTGAATCTCTTATTTTCAGGATCATGCATTAATTTAACCATAGTTAATTATAAATTAGAATATCAATTCTACAAATAAAACAATACCTGTTGAGCATCCTTTTAAGTTTAATACAAAACATTTATTACATCTGCATATTGTAGCAAATATTTGCTAAATTTCAGTTCCCTTCACCTATTTAATATAAAAAAAAATTCGTCAATGTCAAAACTCACAATAATTGATCATTGAAACCATTCAAGATGTAAAATTGCCCAGTAGAGGTACTAGAGGCAAATTAATTTTTCCCCTTCTGAATAAATTATTAGAAGCTTTTATGAAAAAGGGTGGGCTCATTTTTAATTAGCATGTTGGCCAGTGTAATTTGACAATATTTGTTAGCCAAGGACGAAGAGTTCAACCCTGGGAGGATTACCATTAATAATCTCCATAATAGTCATTTGAAAGGTAGAAGAACATAGTTAACAGTTCCTTAAGAGCTTCTAAAATGATGTCAAACAAATAATCACATTTTCAAATATACATACTCACAGATATCTTGTTATAGTTAATACTTTTGTTATCTTATTATTTTTTCTTACAATCTAGACATAATTAAACAATTGAAGAAGGCAGTACAGTGAATAAAACACTGAATACAAAAAAGAATTGGCCATATGAATTACTGTATAAAAGAACTGGCCATATGAATTACTGTATAAAAGAATTGGCCATATGAATTACTGTATAAAGGGTGTGTTAATGTTCTTGGCCCAATTTGTTTTCCAAAATCTGACCAAATTACCAAACATCAGAATGCTTGTTCGCAGTTGATATATAGGTTTCCTTTATAAAATTTAATAGTAGATTTTACAGTATATAATCACAATGAAACCATTGTTCAAATGAAGATTTCACAAATACCAAAACAGCTAAGATTTTAATATAAACGGTACAACTCACCTGACATTGACTAAATCTGCAGGTGTACCCACAACACCACCTGAAGCCCCAGCAAAACCAGCCAGCAACACTTTTTGATAGAATGGCATTGATTGGTTATCTTTCACAAGCTGTTTTTTGGCAGTATCGTAAATGGCAAATCTTGTTAGGGAATATGTAAGCTGGGAATAAATAAAGCTGATCAATTTTAAAATTTACAGGTATTATAGGAGTTTAAAATCATCTAATAAACTTGTTTATACACAATCTACTAATTATCTGTAGTAAAAATAGAAAATAAATTTTCATGTGGAAAATTTTCATGTCTTGTAGTAATAATAAAAAAAACAAAAACATTTAAACCTTTATATAAAATTAGTGTAGCGTACTGTAAAAAAATGACAGCAATTGTTTGAACGTTTTAATACCGAGATGCAATAAAACACTGTATTGAGATTCAATAAAGCAAAGATCTAGAATTCACAACGAAAATAGAGAACTTAATGAACTGTTTAATTAATCTGTTCCCTTTATATTTTTTAGATGGTCAATGATATCTATGATTCATTGATTACTCTTGGCATTATATAAATCACGTTTTGCTCAATGTCTTTTCATATTAGAAATGCTGTGTATTTAATAAAATAGTGACTCAAAATAGAAACACCTAGCAACAGAAAAACAAAGGCAGTGAAAATGACAAAACCTGTCTGAAGACCAAACTGAAGCAAGGTGATTACTTATTAGACAAAGGTAAGGCCTTGTAAGAAAAACTCGAACAAATAAGACTTCAGTCTAATGGAATGTAATAATTAAACAGTTCATTTTTGTTGGGAACTAATTTTGTCTAAATAAAAGATAAATATTTTATTTGTATAGATTATTAAAATGATTAAGGGAAGTAACCACTCATAAATTTACTACCTTAAGTTGATTTACCTCCCTTTACACAATAGAGCATGACACAAAAGATATAAATAAATACACAATGATAATTATTATATAGTAGATTGATTTCATAATATACAAAGTATGCCAACTGCAAAAGATAAATTAATTTAATAATCTAACTGAATTTACAAGTGGTTAGTAGTTAAACACTGACAATTCAATCTGAAACCTGACTGCTAATAATATCAAGTAGACATTCCCATGTTAAAGTTTATTCCCAAGAAGAGAAATGTAATGTCCAGACCCTATAAGTAACAAATCTTCTGGATAAATTGAGCTGAACTTTGGAACATGGTTTTTGACCTAAACAGCATCACATGTACTTTTAAATTGTTCTCTTTATTATTTTATCTGACAAATAAGTAAATATCACCTCCATAACAATATTTGTACTCTTCTTTGCAATAACCAACTGTAGTATGCAGTTTCAGAACTTATACTTTTTAATCTCTATGGATAATTGCTATTACACTAAAATATTTCAATAATCATAAATGTAACACATATAGTGGGTAATCTGTTTAATTATATTAAAACTATGATTAAGCAATTTTCACTGACTTAAAAGTTGGTCCAGTTGTGTCAAAGCTTAAATAAAATCCTTCCATGAAAAATCATTTTTATTCTACATAATCTGTCATTTGTATTTAAGTGCTATTAGGTGCCTTTAAATTTTTTTCAGCAAAATTTGTGAAAAAAAAAAATCACACAATCTGTCAGGTATGATAATCAAAGCATCAATAACCTAAAAAACTGAAAATAAATGAGAAAAGATCTAATTGTTTATAAACCATTGCAAACATGAGCCTAAAATTGTCACAAGCAAACCTTGAGAAAGATCACAAGTGAACTGAGAAACTCAATCTTGTGCTTTGTTTAAATATAGCAAAGACTCTTGCATGAGCAACAGAGAGAAAGCACTAAATACTTGTTGGCTATTTTCACTGCCTGCCATAAGAAATGCATAATAATCATAGCCATTTTCCTTCCTTTTTATACAGAAATGAAATTAAAATTAATATTTTTTTATGTTAGATGTGGGCATTATTACTTGTAATCAGAATTTTGTAATTTAAACATTAATATTTTAGACTTATGGTATTAATTTTTTTCAAGAGAAACTGATCAATTTCAAGAGTGAATGCTATTTTTAGTGTCAACTCAAATATGAGTAGACACTAAAAATAATGTTTAAAGTGATAAAATCTGCTGGATTAATAAATAAAAAATCCATTATTCGTTTAGAAAACTGCTTTGTTTTGTACATTTGGATACAAAATTGAGCAGATATGAAAATTTTGAGAGTCTATGGCTTTTCGCTTAAAAGCACTGTTGGTCTGCAAAAGTTCTTTGTGGCCGAGTTGGTTAAAGCACATCACACACACATTATATATATATATGTGTGTGTGTGTGTGTGTGTGTGTGTGTGTGTGTGTGTGTGTGCATTTCTTTTTTTAATCATTTCACTCCAGATACAAACTGAAAGTAACAAAACTGAAAGAATCTAAGAAAAACATTATTGGAGAGAGAGAACAATAAAAGAACAGGGTTCAAGGAGACAGAAGATGATGTTGCATTTAAATTTTTGAAGATCATAGATGACAAGATAGCAAGTAAACAGAAGAGAGTTTTACAAGTGAGAAGCATAAGAGAAACTTTTAGCATTGAACTTATGATTGTATCTAACAATTTCAACAGTAAAATGATGAGACCTAGCTGCCAATCTAGTACTTCTTTCATTAAGAATATCTAGATACATATCAAAAGCATCAGACCAGATACAGCAGCAGTATTCAATGCATGGACAAATGATAGACTTAAAGTAATTGATCTAGAGAAGCAAAGAAAGAAAATCTTGTGAGGTGAGATGCATAACCAATTTGGAGTTGATTAGAACATCTAGTACTTTGCCAGAAAGATGTAGAAGATTAATCACAGGTTGAAAGTTCAAATAAGAAGGTTCACTTAAGTTCTTAAGAACAGGAACTACAGAAGAGGATTTCTAACAAATTGGAAAGCAAGAAGCAGCAACACGTTTATTGTAGAGCACAAGAGCACATTTTTTAGGACTATTTCAGGGAGATAGCATTGAGTTCACATGCTTTGTGGGGATCAAGTTTAGAGATGATAGCAGAAACTATGGACAGTAGAGACTCAGTTGTAAGTGCAAAGCCAAGCAAAAATACTTCAGAGTCAAGACTAGAATTGCAAGAGAATTTCTGAGCAAAGCCTTCTACTTTATCAGCAGATCAAATTGAGTGAAGAGAGGACTTACCCTTATTTAACACACTATTACAGAGCCACAGTAATCATGAGAACCAAACTTGTGAGAGGTTATAAAATGGTTCATTCTGCCAGTGAACAAAGTCCACATAGCCTCATTGTGTGTATATAAAACTCTAATCTTGTGTGTTACATAGCTTAAATGATACATACCCCAACCACTTAGAAGCATATTGTACGTTGAACTCTGGCCAGGTGCAGTACCAAATTTCATCAAAACTAGACAAGGGGTTCTTGAGTTAGGGCTATTTTTCTGTTTTTACAGTATTTTTAATAGGAATTTCAGTATTTGTTTTCAATGCACATTCTCATATTAATCCATATATATAAACAACAAATATTATATTCCAACTATGTGTGTAAAAATAATAAATATTCATAATACATTATAACAACATTATTAAATAAATTTAAATATGCATAACACAACACACATATATATATATATATATATAATTCACTACATTGGAACCTTTTTTTTTTTTTTTACTTGAAAGGTGAAAAGACAATGTATCACATGAATTGATGGTAAATAAATAGATGCATGTTATTTGCAGCCATTGTATATTTTGAAATAAATGTGAGGAAGAAACAAGTATGTATAATAAAAAATATACTTATTATTTTGAAAAAGAATACATCCATTTTAAGTTTTTACTCCAAATTTTCATGAAATATGTTAGCGTTATGAAGCCCTATGAAACAAACACCTTTTACAATCTTTAGTTTAGATTAAATTTGTATTCAAAGTTCATTTTATGGGAGATATTTCTCTCTTAATGTAAAGAAATGAAAATCTATTGATATCATAAAAATTTATTTTTATATTTAAATCAGGATATATTTGCATTAAAATGTTTTTGGTGCTTTTCATTTGCTTTCAGACAGGAAAAAATTTTACTTATTAACTAATAGTTAATAAAAAATATACTTATATCTTTGGAAAAAATACACGTTCTTTAAGCTATTACTCCAAATTTGTATACAATGGGTTAACTATGAAGCTCAGTTTTAACAAACTTTCTTTCACCATCTTTACATACAGATTAAAATGTGTAATTAATAATAAGATTGATAATATTGTTACCTATCATTTTATCCCATGAACTGATTTTAAAAGAAAACCAACAGGTTTATGGGTGCCCTAGTTATATGTGTGTGTGATAAATACAAATATTACATTTGCCACTAAACTGATTCAGCACCCCAACTCCAGTTTTGTAGACAAACCTTTTTATAATTGTTAGGTCTACTCATCAATTTTTATATTGAGTGAAAAAATAATTTATGCACTTTTTATAGGTGTTAGGTTGACTTTTTGTGTGTGTGAGGGGATAATTTGTTTTCTCAAATTTGAGAAATATAGGTGCATTCCATTTTTTATTTATTTCTAATTTAAATAATTATTTTTTTAAATCAATGCTTAAATGGCAAAGTGTTTATTTGTTTATATGCTTTCACTTACCCATTATCATTTTCTTATTTAATAGTTTGTTTTTTTACCTGGCTTCATGGTATCTTAGGTATTTAGGGTATTAGTTATGGAAGGTTAGTTTTTATAATTATATATATATATATATATATATATATATATATATATATATATATATATTTTAGTGCTTAAATAGTGATTTTGGTGGAGATGTTTTCTTTTGGGATCCATATATACACACACAGTATAACAATGTTTAAAAGTTGCATCTGAATACTGAATATATGTATGCTACTTTTCCTAATTTTTATATACTTATGTTTAGCAGAAAATAGGAAGAAAACCTGAAAGCTTAGAAATCAACAACATGCATAATCTTGCATAGAGTTGATTTTGTACAGTACTGACAAGGTCATATACATTAACTTTGTATGAAATGTATAATTCACTTTAAAATTAAAAACCTATAATGTATATGTTAAAAATGAAATATTTTTCACTTCTATTTATATGCAGTTAAATCCTTAAAAGCATTATAATTTACAACTGTTTATTAACTTGACATTCCAAGAAAAACACAGCAAGAACATATTCAGTCTTGAAAAAAAGTTTTTTTAACATATCTAAATAATATGAAAACATTTTGCAATAAAAATGCCAAAAGGTTGTTGTACTGTTTTAAGAATATTGTATTAGAATCTTTATGTAAAACACTAAAACTGTGACTGATCTCTTGTAATTAAAATGTTTTATATTCTTTGCATATGACTGCCAGTAAAGGAGAAAATTCTAATATTTTATTGAGAGAACAGCTGTACAAATTCACCCAGAAAGCAAAGAATACAGTTATAGAATTTTTTATATTTTTATCTATAATCTAATGTTTTTTATGCTCATTGTAATGAAAATTAGTTGAAAAAATATTCAAAACAATGACAGATTTTAAATCAATGGCTATCTTGTTAAAATGTAATTTAAAAAAGTAAAGAAAATATTAAATTTAGTTTTCATTGTTTCAAATCTTAAGTTTAATGCATCAGTATTTTTTTTTTTAAAAGTGACCAATTTGGTTGCAATATTAAAAAAAAATAAAAAACTTAACTTCTCAAATGAAATTAAATTTTAATTAAAAAATAATCAAAGAACAATCACTATAGTTTGACTTAGCTGTGGTGAAAAAAGATTTGATGGCTGATAGACAAAGTTTGGTTAGCAGTAAGAGAGAGTTCCATAGAAATGGCAGTAGATGAATTCTTTAATGTGTTCACTGATAAAAAAAAAAATCATTTTATAAGCAACAGAGTTATCATGTAATAGATACATTAATATCTGCTTATTTATTCAGACATTTGGATAACAAAGCGCGTTTAATTTTTTATCTATGCAACAAAAACAGTGACATTGGCTTTTATATAATATTTCATGCATTCAGTTTTCTCATTTCACTGCATCAATTGCAGTAAAATAGTGTTAACAAAAAACAAATGTAAGTTTATAAAATGAACTAACAAGAAGCACTGTATAGATCATAAGAGTATTATAGACTCTGAAGACAACTATTGAACACACAAAATAAAACAGCAATTATAATTTAATTAAATCAATATATATTTATTGTCAAAGAAAAATGTTTTGTCTTTAACAATCTGCAGAATCACTCAAATCCCAATAGAATCTTAAAATAAAATCTTTTATTATAAATAAAATTATAAATCCATTTAAATTTTCAAGTACAATATATTTATCTAATTTTTTATTTTGCTGATCAATTTTCTTGTCACTGTCTCAAAGAAAAATATTAAAAATATATGATAAATAAAGTGCCCTTTATAATGAAGCAATTTACTGGATGTTTTATTGCAGATGCTTTGTGAATGTTCAACCATCTCAACACAAAGTTTTAATTATACAATCATGATTAACAGAGGTTTATGAATATTTATAAATTTATTTTAAACCAATTCATTCTCTTAAAATTATTTCTTCAGCAATTAAACTTAATCCATTTCAAATATTTAATGAACCTTGGATTTTTTAGGAGCATAGTCCATTTTAAAATCAATAATCTTTCAGCTTGTAATTAAAGAAGTTTAACAACAAATTTTTGAAATGTTAAATGGAGGATGATGTATGATAAACATTGAAATAGAACAAAGCAAAGTCATTTCACTCCTTAAGAATTTTCATTACTAACATAATAAAAGTAAGCATAAGTGATAATCAGTCTTACTTGTCGAAGCAAAGATGCTGTGAGTCCATTATAAAGTCCAGTGACACCATCATTTTTAAGAATGCGAATCACTAATGTTGTGGCTTTCACTTTTTCTCCTTGCTGAGTCTGAAGCTGCACCTAAAAGCAAAAGATACAATCCAAAGAGTTCATCATATGATATAATAAAAATAAAGAGAAATTGTAGTGAACTCGGATAAAAAAACCAAAAAAAAAACAAAAAAAACAATTAAAATAAGATATTTACTTTCCTGTAAAACACATTTTTTTTTCTTTCTCTTTCTACCCTTCTCTCTCTATACTTCTCTTCCAACAAATAAAATGAAGAAAAAATGAACATGGTTGCAAAATGGCAAAAGTTTTCTGGATCTAAGTCTAGCTATTGTGACTAGAAATCTACCAAAATAAGAGTGGCTCCACACCTAACTCCCAGTAAAAAAAAAAAAAAAAATTGCAAAGAAAGGAACACCAAAAAATAAAAGAATTTTGGCCAGTCAAAAAAAAAAAAACTAAATGATTTTTCATGTTAGCCAAAACCAAGCTTCACGCCAGTGGTATGGAATCCTGACTTAAGCCGAGAGGCAGGAGAGAAGAGACCACCTTTACATTGAAATAACATCAAAAGTATAAAACGATTAAATAGTGGAGTGAGTTGAGAATAAATCTAGGATTTTATTAATGAAAAGAATCACTATAGGAAGTCTGAAAAGGACATTATATTTATGCTTTTTTAACAAACATGAATCTGTACCAAAAGATCAAAATAAAATTTGAATTTCAATATTAATCTTTTTTAACCAGTCAAAAGATGAATAGGATTAATTCATCAGCAGTTAAATTAGATCCTTTCCAAAGTTGGTTATTTTCCTATAAATAGATAGTTTTCACTCTTAAAAGCCCCAGTAATCAAATTGTTTTCAGAAAAGATATATCAATTCTGAATTGCCCATGTGCAAGCCAACCTCAAAGTGTGACTTGTTCCCAAAGAGACAACATCAATTATATCATAATTCACTCAGCATTTTACAAATATAAAATTTTGCTGCCTGCAGAAATGTAAGTCAGTCAGTTATGTGCCATGAGTGATACACACTTAGGTGATCATGTATCGAAAGATACATGACTGATGAGGCAGATTTTTTTCCCCCTCAGTAGGTTGCCATTTCTTTCTGCAGTAGACCAGTTGCCATCCAAGGCTATAGAACCTGGTCTGTGCTGCTGGAGGCAGAAGAGGATTCATACCTTTCTCAAGGGTATTAGCATGTAAGTGAATGTAATGGATTTGACTGGAATTCAAACTCAGCTCTCCGATTCCTCAATCTGAGCCACTATCCATTACTCCACCATGACTCCATGCAGAAATGTAAACACACATCTATACTCTGTAAACTGCCCTTTTCATATATCGTACCTTGTTCCTGATGGCAAAAGTAATATCGTTTAAACTAAATTTACAATAACAAAATTCAAACCATGTATCATTTCAACCAACAGTTTATGGTTAAGTTTTTCCTACTGCTGCTAGGATTTTATAACAAAGCAAACTTTCTCCTGCATCCATGTAGACTGTAGAAAAATAGCATAAATGATTTTGATCATAAAACTTGACATAGGTATACAGAAAACATACAGAATATTTAACTTTGCTCAAATAATTCTTAGTTGTATATGTATTATATTCTTTAATTTTTATTTTTGGCCAATTTGTATTTCGTAACAATATTTAAAATATGGAAGATGTCAGCAACTATCCCTCTAAAAGTTCATGTTAATTTTATTGTATAGATATGAGATCAACAAAAAGCATTTCAGTAGAAAAATAATTATTTTGTTTGCATAAAGATGTTTCTTCTTTGAAAAAAAATAAATAAATAAATAGAAAATGGGGAAATATTTCATAAATTTTATATACTTTAAAACAATTCAGTGAAAGTATCAAAATTTGAGAGAAAGTGACTCAATTATCTTTTACATAACTGGGACATTTTTGCTGATTTACCAACATTATGGATTCCCCATAAGATGTGAAGTATTTTGATAAAAAAATAAACATTTTAATACATATTAACATAAAAAAATGTCAGATTTTAATATGTATTCACATCATTTTCAAAACTATATAAAAGTGATTGTTTTTAAAAGAAAATCTTTAAGAATAAATAGTAAGAGAAGTTACTTCTGTTGATATTTGGGGGGGGGATGCAATAAATCTGAAATCTGTTCTGATCAAACATCTCCAATCCAACATGTTAACTATCCCGGTTGCATTTTATCTTTCTCCAATTTCATTTGCTTTCTAGTAGGTATCCCAAATTAACATTTTATTCTCAATATATCTAAAAACCTTTAATACAGGCATAAAGAACTTGACAAACCATAACAAAATGGTACCAAATTTATCTTGGTAGCTCAATTAGCAACAAAGTTATGACCATTCAAAGTTTATCAGTTTTCCATTTCATGTTCTATTGGACCAGAAGCTAATTTTAAGTGTGTAACTGAATATGCAGGATTCAAACTAGTTAAAAATCATTATAAATGTAATGTCATATAGGTAATCTTGAAATAAAAGAAATAAACTAATGAATTCAATAATTATTAGATCAGGGAAATATGAATTATTAGATCATTGTGAAAAGATTGTGTCCTCAAAAATGAAATACTTAAGACACAATACAGAAAGACACATTTGACTAATCATATAAGTTTCATTTCAACAGTTAGTGCCTTGCAACAGAGATTAAGCTCAGTTTTTTTACAGTAATACATCAATAAAAAAAAGAACACCAGGTAAAATCATCCAGAAGCACAATTTAACAACAGGGTAAAAATCAGCTCAAAAGTATACTATCCTGAACTTGCCATAAAAAGTATCCACTGATCTGAAACTTTACTAATTTTGGGATGGGTTATTCAATAAAACGGTTCTTTGTGCTCTGTAATATGGATAACTTTTCTTATACATGTATACAATTTTGGAAAATTGTGAAATTATACAATTTTTAGTATATCAAATAGGGCCAGTAATGAATACAGAACTTAGAAATTTGTTTCATGAAATGAATCACTGGTCAATCCTTCAAACAAATGCTTATTGTAAAACTTTAAACTTCAAACTAAAAACACTGAAATTAATAAAGATATATTTATTGAAACTAATGAAAGATTTTCTGGACAGTTGGAATGATCCCCACCTATATTGCCTCTTCTAATGCTATTTGAATTTGTTTATAAGCTTTAATAAGCCAATATTCCTGGAACACTTCATATCCTACCATCACTTGAAATTTCCATCTAAGGACAAATGTTGATGCTACTTGTGCAATATCATCCAGCAAAGGAAATTAAAAAAAATAATCATTTCTGCCTTTGGTTGGAATTAAAAGAGACTAGACAAAGTCGTAATATCAATAACTTCATCAATATAAAAGTTGTAGTACTAGTATGCTGCAACCAATTGGCCTTGGTGTTTGTAATTGAAGGTCATTTGAACTGGCTCTTCTACATAACAAATGCTTGAGTTGTTTGAATACCCAGAGTCACTGAGTGTGGAGATAAAGTTCTGTTAAAAGTTTTATCAGTGAAATGTCTATATTTCCTTCACTATACAGTTTTTTTTTTAACTTTATAAACATACATTGCAGGGAATTTGGAGGTCTTTGTTGACCTGTTTCTCCCACTTAGAAGAAAACTACTTCTCGGAGTTCATCATCTACTCTATTTACCAACCTCCCCACAAGGCAAGATGTGGCACAAGGCCAGTTTTTAACGGGGAGCGTTATGAACCCATGGGCTCTGGCAAAAATTGACCATAGATCCTGTATATACGGGGTCAGGTTTGTCTACCTCTCCAAACGAGAGACTGCCCTTCGGCATAGCCCTGGAAAGAGAGGAAGAGGAACAGAAAGCCTGCTCCTCATCCTCCTCCACTTATCAGAAGATTAAATAAATGTAAATTTCATTAATAACCCAGATAGGGGTCTCTGACATGAAATTGTTTTGTTTTTTTCTTTTAGGTACTCTAAAAATAAATAAATAAACAACTTCATTTTAACATACCAAAATAAAGCCTAATCCCTAGAATTAATAAACAAATAATCATAAAAAAAAAGTTGATTTTGCAAAATTCAACAAAATTTTTTTACAGACCCATGCGCCAAAGTTCTTATCCAGTTCATTTTTTATCATGAATGAATATCATCATTTTAGAAGGAAAAGTGGATACTTTTTTTTTAGATATGTTCAATAATTCGCTGAAAAACAGCATAGCATGATGAAAAAAGGTCCCAAACTTAATAAAAACAAATTTTCATCATGAAAAAGTTTGTTATTAATAAGAGGAAAGACCAAAGTATTTTTTGATTGTTTTTTTAAAATTTTTTATTCTTTTCTAGCACGTTTGAAATTTTGTTTGAAAATCTTGTTTGCATTTTTTTTTAGGTCAAAGGTTACATAGTATTTTTTAGCATTAGTCTTTTTGTGTTTTTTTCATACTTTTTTTCAGTTTGAAAAACGCATTAATTTGAAAATTCTTGCAAAAATTAAATAATTGTCAGATTTTAATGAAACTTTCAGAACTTATTAAAAAAAATAAATGAAATTATTTTACAAATGTTTGTTTTTTTAGAAATTCATGATAATTTTTTTTTTTTTTACATTTGTTACCCCCCACTCACTTAATTTTATGAAAACTTGAAAATCCTAAACTGTAAATGTCTGTATTTTCTTTTTATTAAATGCAGAAGACTTTGAAGAATATAAATCATCGATTTTTTTTGTAAATCGATTCTTTAGCTCTGAATTGTAAAATAAAACTAAGACATTATGGTAAATTTGCTTTTTAAACCCCGCAAAGAAAATCTATTATAACTTTCTCAAATCATTATATTTCTGTGTAAATGTATATGCTGAACTTGAAAATAACGCCCAAATTTTGACAAAACCTACCATTTTGAGTTTATCGACAATAAAAATTCGGACTCGGTCACATTCACTGTGGAATATATTACGCGTGGAATCATAATTAACTTTGCACAAAATTTGAAAAGAGCATGATAAGTAAACCTAAATCCTAACCATTAGGGTTAGGGGTAGTAAACCTAACGGTAGTAACGGTTAGG